GATGTAAAGTTAAATAATATAGAATAAAGATCATTTCAAATGTAACCTTATAAATCACAAAGTTTTTTTTACCCCAGATTAGCAGCAATCATATCAACAGCAATCATATCAGCAGCACTTGTAATGACCATGTATTGGCTCTGAATCTCGTGTAAAAATGACATGCTGATGTGGAGAGAGTTAGATGACAGGATGGGGTAGGCAGAGCTGATGAACGTTGGGGAGGTGGGCAAAAATAGAACAAACAGGCAGGATACTCCTGCTGAATTGGTTTAGAACCGCCCCATTGTTCTTTCCATTCTGAGGAGATGACGTTTGCCAAGGAGCCTCTGGAACTATGCAGCTACAGCTAGGGTGCTGCTGATGATGAGAGAGGAGCCTCTAGTGTCCAGTCTCCTGGACAAGAAATCATAGCTAAAGTGCCTCTGAGCAGCGATCTGGCAAGAAGTATACTTATATACGGTAAATGGACAAAGATTTACTACTATGTACACATGTGCCTACCACACTAGTAAAGATAGATTAGCAGATTATGGGTAAAAGATTCAATAACCATTATTTGTGCTGAGATTTTTGGAAACAGAAAATCCCCCGAAAAACCTATCCAAGACAAATGTACTATTGCCTATCAATACAGTTTTCCTATGGCTGCTTTCACACTGATCCAATGCAAAAATGCAGTAAAACGCATATGCGTTTTTGCCTCATTTCCTGTGCAATTTTTTGGTACCTGTTACCCAGCATGCACCTTTGGCTCAAAAAACTGCTGCGCAGGTGTGTTTTTGATGCATTTTTTGGTGCATTTTCTATTCATTTTAGTTGGGATCTGTGTTTTCGTGCAGTTTTAAAAACCACATCAAATATGCCACGCACCACACTTGCAGTGCAGTGGTATAAAGAGTCCCATAGGATTTAAGGAGATTGCGTTTTTAGCACAGTAAAAATGCAGTAAACATGCTTCAGTGTGAAAGCAGCCCATATCTCCATTAGAACTTCTGTTCAGATCACTCTCTGTGTGGGATGTTTACATTCATAATAACAATAAATTCTCAGCACTATTAACAGCGCTTTTGTGTGGTGTGCCTTTTAATAGACATTTGTCACTTTGTTAAACCGCTATACTAGGTATCAGGATATCTTTGTGTTATTAATTTGAGTAACAGTTACTGCAGTCATTTCAACAACAATGATTACATTGTTTGTATAACTCACTGGTGCTTATAAACTGTGTGTAATGCATGATTGGGCTGCAGCAGTTGTATAAATACAAATTATGTGTGAAGTCAGATAATTTCCTTTGTGAAATTTGGTGACATTGCATTTTTACTATGAATATTTCAAATTCCTATAACTAATTGTGCTTTGATATTTTGAATTTGGTAAAGTATGAAACCTCAAACATTAGGCCTTTTTTCCCTTTTTTCTTTAAATAATTATGAGGCATATGTAATGACTTTAGCTCCTATATTTTGATCTGAGCTCCCTTGGAGCAGGTAAAATGTTGGTAGCAATGGTATTTTGGAGAACACTATGGGTTACTTCATATTATTTTTAACTAAAGAATTAAAGCGGAGCTCCACCCAAAAGCAGAATTACTAAAATATAGATTATAGTTACCCTCCAATTCTCAGGTAAATCGAAAGATGGCTACCGATTTATGAGTGGACTTGAGCTCTCACAAAATGGTGTCTGGACAAGCTAGAGTTGTGTGCCAGATATGCCATAAGAAGGATGGTTGGATGGAAATTGTGTTCCAATGGAATGTTGTGATCAGATGGATGGGGTCTTATCTTGTGAAGGTGATCTTTGTCAGTGCATGTGCTGATATGATCTGATATGATTCCAATATGATCTCCTCTGTCTACCTGACTTTCCCTTTTATCTATTGACACACAATACATTCATAAAATTTGAATATACCAGCCTAAGAGGTAGCTCGATAGGCGTTACCTTCCATTGATTAGTGACTTTGCCTCAGACTCCACCCATTGTTTGTTTTCGTATTACCACCATTTTGCCACTGAGTGTCACTCTAAGATAAGTCCTGGCTATTTTGAGTTTCCTTGAAATTGAAGTAGCTCATTTGTTATAGGGAAAGATTAATATTTCACTATAACAAATTGGACTTTGTGACAACTGTATAATGCCTTGGAGGGTAAATTATGTAAAATTTTAACTAAAAAGAGTTGTAGTTTTTTTATATATATTGATTAAAACTATACTGATTAAAACTATTCTTATGCACATTTAGGACAGAAAGATACACTATATGTAGATATATGTATATCCATATCTTCATATAAACCTAATAATTCACATTTTTCACTACTGATTGGTTAGAGATACGGTATCACACATACACTATTTCTACAATAAGATAACTTTCAACACACTAAATATAATAGGATTACACATTACAGCCGGTGTTAATATTCCGGATTCTTTTCTTACAATGGGATCTTGTGTCAAAACTATTTTATAGATATCTTGTGACATTGTGTTTTTAATTTTAAAATATATTCTAAATATGTCTGTGATATTTATAATGGTTTTGTCCAGAAGAAGAATTGAGTTATGTGGATAGTTTTAAACATATATATGGTTCAAAGGTTTAACTTCCCAAAGTTCTTTTCCATGTGAGGTGTTAGTTTACCCTTCCCTGAGCTGAGCAATGGTAGTTACTGAATGGCCGGAATGCTAATTTGTTAAATCCAGCTCTATATGCAAGATGTCCCCACAATTTACATTTATGGGGCCTGGAAAGGCTGGTAAATATTGTTCATTTGCTCCAGGTGCAGTAGAAGGACAGAACCCATTGTTCCTTTTCTGAGGTGTCCTTGTTTTTCTCAATTTTGTACTTGTCAAATAGATACTATGTACAGTTGTGTTCAAAATAATAGCAGTCAGACATCACTAACCTGATCAATCACTGTTTTTGGTAGAAATGATATTTCTACATGGCAAATAATTTACTAGCAGGTGTAGTAGAGTCATAGAAATCCAACAGACCCAACAGTCATGACATGCATGCTGCTGATTCTGTGTAATTGAATCACTCATTGAAAGGGGCATGTTCAAAATAATAGCAGTGTGGAGTTCTATTAGTGAGGTCATTCATTCTTTGAAAAACAGGTGGCAATTATTGCCCTTATTTAAGGAAGGAAGGCAACAAATGTTGTACATGCTGGTTACAGTGCATTTCTCTCTGAAATTTTGAGGAAAATGGGTCGTTCCAGACATTGTTCAGAAGAACAGCGTACCTTGATTAAAAAGTTGATTGGAGAGGGGAAAACCTATAAAGAAGTGCAGAAAATGATAGGCTGCTCAGCTAAAATGATCGCAAATGCTTTAAAATGGCAACCCAAACCTGAAAGACATGGAAGAAACCAAAAAACTACCATTCGAATGGATAGAAGAATAGCCAAAATGGCAAGGACTCAGCCAACAATCAGCTCCAGGAAGATGAAAGAAGGTCTAAAGTTACCTGTGAGTACTGTTACAATTAGAAGACGCCTATGTGAAGCCAAGCTATCTGCAAGAAGCCCCCGCAAAGTCTCACTGTTGAAAAAAAAGACAAGTGCTGAAGAGGTTACAATTTGCCAAAGAGCACATTGACTGGCCTAAAGAGAAATGGCGCAACATTTTGTGGACTGATGAAAGTAAGATTGTTCTTTTTGGGTCTAGTGGTCGGAGACAGTTTGTCAGACGACCCCCATACACTGAATTCAAGCCACAGTACACTGTGAAGACAGTGAAGCATGGTTGCGCAAGCATCATGATATGGGGATGTTTCTCATACTACGGTGTTGGGCCTATTTATCTCATACCAGGGATCATGGATCAGTTTAAATATATCAGAATACTTGAAGAGGTCATGCTGCCTTATGCTGAAGAGGAAATGCCCTTGAAATGGGTGTTCCAACAAGACAACAACCCCAAACACACCAGTAAACGTGCAAATGACCAACAAGATTGACGTTATGGAGTGGCCAGCCCAATCCCCGGATCTTAATCCAATAGAAAACTTGTGGGGTGACATAAAAAATGCAGTTTCTGAGGCAAAACAAAGAAATAGAGAAGAACTGTGGAATGTAGTCCAATCATCCTGGGCTGGAATACCTGTTCACAGGTGCCAGAAGTTGGTTGACTCCATGCAACACAGATGTACAGCAGTTCTCAGAAACAGTGCTTATACAACTAAATATTAATTACCGTATTTTTCGCTCCATAAGACGCACTTTTTTCCCCCCAAAAAAGGGGGGGAAAATGTCAGTGCGTCTTATGGAGTGGCCGGTCTGGTATTTCCACCGCCGCCGTGTCAGAATATCGGGCCGGCCGCTCAGCTCTGCAGTGGGACCTTACCTGTTCCTCTATCCAGCGGCGCGCTGTCCTCCCGGCTTCTGTAGTGTGCTTGACAGCCGGGTGCCAATTGCGCATGCGTAAGAAGTGGTTCTCTTTTTGAATGGTAAGGCGGTACCTAGGACACATGACAGATCCCAGAAGCTGCCGGACCAATCACAAAGCACTGCGCTTCTCGCTCATGCGCACTGGGCATCCGGCTTTCCGCCGAGCGCCCACACTACAGAAGCCGGGTAGACAGCGCACGGCTGGATAGAGGAACAGGTAAGATCAAAGAACAACTCCGCGGAAGTAAGAGCGGGTACCTTTCAAATTCAGGTACCCGCTCCCCCCCCCCCCCCAAAGGTCAGCAGTGATCTCCTGTACTGTCCGCAGTCTCTGGTCATCTCCTGTACTGTCCGCAGTCTCTGGTCATCTCCTGTACTGTCCGCAGTCTCTTGTCATCCCTGTACTGTCCGCAGTCTCTGGTCATCCCTGTACTGTGTCCGCAGTCTCTGATCATCCCCTGTACTGTGTCTGCAGTCTCTGGTCATCTCCTGTACTGTGTCTGCAGTCTCTGGTAATCTCCTGTACTGTGTCTGCAGTCTCTGGTCATCTCCTTTACTATGTCCGCAGAAAAAAAAATATTCTGAACCAATGGACTGCAGACCTAGTACAGGAGATAACCAGAGACTGCGAACATAGTACAGGAGACTGTCAGAGACTGTGAACATAGTACAGAATACTGTCAGAGACTGCGGACATAGTACAGGAGACTCGGAGATTGCGGACATAGTACAGGAGACTGTCAGAGATGGCAGACATAGTACAGGAGATGACCAGAGACTGCGGACATAGTACAGGAGATGACCAGAGACTGCGGACATAGTACAGGAGATAACCAGGACTGCGGACATAGTACAGGAGATAAGCAGAGACTGCGGACATAGTACAGGAGATGACCAGAGACTGCTTACATAGTACAGGAGATGCCCAGAGACTGCGGACACAGTACAGGAGATAAGCAGAGACTGCGGACACAGTACAGGAGATGACCAGAGACTGCGGACACAGTACAGGAGATGACCAGAGACTGCGGACACAGTACAGGGGATGACCAGAGACTGCGGACACAGTACAGAGGATGACCAGAGACTGCGGACACAATGCAGGGGATGACCAGAAACTGCGGACCTTTGGGGAGGAGGGGGGGAGTGGGTACCTGAATTTGACAGGTACCCGCTCCCACTTCTGCGGAGTTGTCCTCCCTCCCCATTTTCTGGGACACGTGAGAGGTCCCAGAAGACTGCCGGACCATTCACAAAGCGCAGCGCTTCTGGCGCATGCGCAGTGGGTGTCCGGCTCTGAATCCGCAAGCTGTCACATCCGGGTGCCCACATTAAAGATGCCCGCGCCGGGAGAGAAGACCATGAGGACATTGCTGGACCGAGGAACAGGTAAGGTTCTGCTGCAGAGAAGAGCCAAGCGGCCGGCCCTGTATTCTTACACAGCGGCGGGAATACCAGGCCGGCTGCTTCATATTCGCATCATAAGACGCACAGACATTTTCCCCCATTTTTTTTGGGGGGGGGGGGGGCGAAAAAGTGCCTCTTATGGAGCGAAAAATATGGTAGCTTTGTTTGCAAAAAACAAACTATCTCAGTTGGGAACGAGATTGTATCCTGCTTGAACTGAGACCTGAAATTGACTCTGGATTTATTTTGGCCTCTTAAGTTTAAGGCAAATATAGTTTGAATCGGAGAGAAGATAAAATATAATTTCTTCTCATAGAAATTCTGACAGTGTCTAGCTTGCTCAGTGCATCCACGTGAGAGCTAACAAACTCATTGACTATTTATACGCAGACACTAATTAATTGAAATTTAAAAAGCCACAGATGTGGGAAATTAACCTTTAATTGCCTGTGTGTCTTTACCAACGCCAAACAATCCAGGGCATTTAAACATTTCATCGTGGCCATCTGGGCGATTTCTGTTATCATTATGGTTTAAAAAGGAGCAAAACAACTATGTGATAATAAATGACTTCATATGATTCCTATCCTTAAATAAAAATTTCCTCATTTCTGCCAGGGTAAGCAAAAGTTTGAGCACAACTGTATTCCCCTTCACACTTCACCAGCAGCTACATAAAAGGTAATGTAAGTTGAAGGGACAGGCAGAGGAGTTAAGCCAGCAAAAGGAGTAATTAGACATTCCCAGAAGAGGAAAGGGTTACACAGGTCTGTAAAAAGTTTTTTTTTTTTTCAAGAGCTGTTTTGGTTATTCCACGTAATCTTTATGTTTTTTGGTGCGCTGAATCCGAAAATGACCTCCATTTTGTTGTAGGACATCACTTTTCCTGACAATTTAGGTAACTATGTTAAATAAGGCAATACCTCAAAATAAATGGAAATAGACTTATAAAATTAAAGTTTTATTAAAATTTTTTCATGAAAATCCTTTTTTGAACTGAAATGAGCTCACCTACACACACTAAACTCGATTCTTCTTCCCTGTGAGGCTCCTCTTGGTGCATTTACCCTTGTGAGTAGCATCTGGAATGTCTCTCTGACGTATCCAACAGTAGTCTGCCATCATTTATGCTCCAATTTCCCTGGTATCTCCTTTCCATCTCTTTAATGTCTTGGTGGAATCGTTCACCTTGTTCCTCACTCACAGCTCCCAAATTTTCAGGAAAGTAGTCAAGGTGGGACTGGAGGCAGGGGGCGGACTGACAACTCATTGGGGCCCCCGGGCAACAGGGCCCCTGTATCCTTGCCCAAACTCAAAAAAGCCTATGAAAAAGGTACCAGGGGCATCTCATGGGACCCCCTACTGACCCCGGGCCCTCGGGCAGTGCCCAAGTTTCCAAATGGTCAGTCCACCCCTGACTGGAGGAAATGCACTTTCAAACTCATCAGGCAACCTAAAGCTTGAAATGCTTTCACCATTCGTCCGACGATCTTTTTGTAGTGAGGATCTTTGTTATTGCCTAAAAATTTCTGTACGACTTCTTTAAATGCAATCCACCCTTCTTTTTGAGGATCCGTCATGGTATTGACAAACTCTTAATCAACTATAAGCCTTCTAATGTCTGGTCCGACAAACACACCTTCCTTCAATTTTGCCTCCGACAGGCCTGGAAACTTGGTGACCAAGTATTTGAAGCATTCTCCATCTCTTGGAAGTGATTTTACGAATTGCTTCATCAATCCCAATTTTATGTGGAGAGGTGGTTGAGAAACTTTGGTACCTTACCATAAAGTTCTTCTGAGGACATTTTTTTTTCACCGACTGTTAGCACCCTCAGCTGCCAACTCTTCTTGGTCCAGTGATTTTGTCGGTCTCGACTGTCCCATAGACACAGAAAACAAAGGTATTGTCAGGAATCAAGGAATGACCAGAAAGGTGTGGACTGACACAGGGAAACGCAGGTTTCAGGTATAGTATAATAATACAGTTTATTCTTAGCCACCCAGATATATATATAAACGCACAGTGAACAAACCAACCTTCCACTAATCTTAGTAGGTGCAGGAACACAGGCGTAGTCAGGGCTCGAGAGGTGGAACGGTCAGGCCGGCCGTAGGGTTCTGTAATGACCGTTTGGTGGTACCTCTAGTGGTCCCCAGGACAGGATTCCCCAGGGCGCGGAGTCTAAGTCCCAGTCTGCTTATTCACCAGGGCCCCTGATGGTGGGGATGGACTTGGAGCAGACAGGAACCAGGTCGCGGCCCCTGAGTACACCTGCTAGTGGTAGAGGGATCCGCCAGAGGTATGTGCAGGTACGGCTGGATCCGTGCAGGATGGATGGATGGCAGAGTAGTTAGCGTGGTCAGACGGGCCAAGTCAGCAACGTGAGGGCAGCAAGGTACCAAAAGGAGCAGGCAAAGAATGGTCAAGATCACAAGCCGGGTTCAGTAACTCACGGACAGCGCGGTACAGGGGATCAGGCAGAAGGATGGTCAGGCAAGCCAGGGGTTCAACAGGAGACGGTCAGCAGAGGTCAGGATCAAGCCGGGTCAGCAACGAAGCAGGAACACAAGATACCAGGTACAGAGGCTCATGGGAAAACATACACCAAGGCCCAGAGCACAGGCCTGGTCATTCCTTAAATACACCTTTCTGCAATCAGCGCCAGGTTTGATTGTGATTCTGGCTGCTAAGAGCTTCTCTGGTACTGCTAACCACCAGTGCTGAGAGCACCCGCTGGTCAGCTCTGGTACTGCAGCCCACACGGCAGGTGAGTCCCACCACCAGTGCTGAGAGCACCCGCTGGTCAGCTCTGGTACTGCAGCCCACACGGCAGGTGAGTCCCACCACCAGTGCTGAGAGCACCCGCTGGTCAGCTCTGGTACTGCAGCCCACACGGCAGGTGAGTCCCACCACCAGTGCTGAGTCCATTCCTGACAGGTATTTGGTATACCTAGCTTGTTGCCTGAGCAGCATGCACAAGACCTTCAAGTCCCCACACACTTGCCAACCATGGTCTTCATATTGAAGTTTACGAAGAACCAATTCCAAGTTCTCGTAGGTTTCCTTCAAGTGTACGGAATGACCTACAGGTATGGAAGTGTAAAAAACACCGTAGTGGAGTAAAACTGCTTTGAGACTTCTTTTTGAAGAATCTATAAAAAGACGCCATTTCTCTGCATCATAATTGGATTTTAAATTGACCCATCAGACCTTCAACATCGATGCAATAAACCAACTTGTCTTCCTGGGCGAAGTAAGGAACGAACTCCTTTTCACGATGTCTGAACCATGAAGATGACACTCCTGGCAACAATAAATTCCTGCTTTTCAGCCTTGATCTGAGTAACTCAGCAGCTTCTTTTTGGGAAGATTCAAGTCTCTCTCTTACCAAATCATTCATCTCCTCCTGAGAAAACAATTTTGGTCTTGTATCATCTTCAAAGTCAGAACTTGATTCGTCATCTGGTTCAGGTATGACTTCACCTTCATCGGCGCTAGGTATCTCTTTCAAGGTAGCAGGGGGCTTGGGTACTGGTATATCTGTGCCATGGGGGATGGGACGAATTGCTGAGTGAAGATTGGGGTATGAAATGGAATGCTTCCATTTGGAATTAAACCCTTTCACATCGCATGAACAAAAGTAACAGTTGTCACTATGGTTCTTTTGCTCTCGCCATACCATAGGAATCCCATAACGGAAAGATTTTTTCTTAACCTTGAACCAGTTTCGGAGGTCCTCAACACACCGTTTGCACACTTTATGAGGCGTCCAAACTTTATCTTGATCTCCAATTTTAGTCCAAAGTATGCAAAGTATAACTTTTTTCACAAAGTCTGTAATATTCTGCTGTTGCTTCAACACTATATTCACCACAGATGAAACAGAAACTGTCTGGCAAATTAATACACTTTCGCGGAGCCATAACATAACGGTTGAAGAATGACGAGCTAACACGAACTGCGATGAAAAAGTGTGAACAGCCTAGAACAGGGGTGGGCAAACTTTTTGACTTGAGGGCGCAATGGGTTCATATATTGGACCCGGGGGCCGGACCAAGAGTAGATGAATGATGTGTATGTGTCATCCATAGTAAGTATAGTAATATTCCCCCATAGTAAGCATAGTAATTAATCCCCCATATAGTAATTCATCCCCCATAGTAATTAATCCCCCATATAGTAATTCATCCCCCATAGTAATTCATCCCCCATATAGTAATTAATCCCCCATATAGTAATAATCCCCCATATAGTAATTAATCCCCCATATAGTAATTCATCCCCCATATAGTAATTAATCCCCCATAGTAATTCATCCCCCATACAGTAATTCATCCCCCATATAGTAATTCATCCCCCATATAGTAATTCATCCCCCATATAGTAATTCATCCCCCATAGTAATTCATCCCCCATATAGTAATTCATCCCCCCTATAGTAATTCATCCCCCCTATAGTAATTCATCCCCCCTATAGTAAGTCCCCCCTGTGTCAATTCACTTACCTTTGCTCCGCACGTTCCTCTCGCCATGTTCCCGCGCGCGTTCCAGTCTTCAGGGCGGACTGTGAGAGGAGCCTAGCTCCCCTCCCCTCACGTTCGTCACGCTGCCCCGCCTACACACATCCTGACAGCCACATCCGCGGGCCGGATTAAAAGGTCCGCCGGGCCGTAGTTTGCCCATTGCTGGCCTAGAACCAAGAACCTGTTGATGATTCGTGCACAAGTGTGGACTGCAGGAGAGAGCAGCTCTGTGTCTGTACACGAGATGTCACAGTGCTGGCCACGCCCCCCTGCACTGACCAGAGCTGCTGCTACCTGCCCTGTGTCTGCCTCCCACTGGATTCTTCAGGAAAGATGAACCCCTTCTACCATTAGAAGCACAGACTCAGGGCTGAGAATTACACATACAGCATGCTGCTCAGTATCCCAGTAGTCAGACATGTCACTCAGAGCAGCACTTGTATTCACCCCCTTTGCAGGGGGGGAGGGGCAGAGATTGTTTACCTGCAAATAACAACAAAGGGCCAGAAGAGAACTAGGGAAA